ATCTTAAGAACTATAGAGTTGTCTATGTGGTTGGGCTCCAGAGAGCGTAGCAGCCTCCAGGAGCCAGAGAGGAGACACTGACTAGGCAATGAGAGATGGTTGGTTAGATCTGATAAGGCAGACTCTAAAATTTGGAACCAAATATGATGGGTGGCTGAAGCTAGCAGACACATATGATCTGTACCTGCCTCAACAGAGTCAAATCAGCAACTTGAGTCAGTTTGTTGAGACATGGCGTGGCTAGAAGATAAGTATGGCAACTGCTACCGAAGCTGGTAAGGCTGTTCCCCTATTCCAGAACTCCATCAGTACCAAAATTACGGCGCTGAAGGAAGGAGATGCATTGTTCTGATATTCTAATGACTACCCAAGGCTCCCTGTTGGTGATAGTCCTGCTTGGGCCGTGGGACATGCATGGTTGGCTGGAATGTGGTTTGGGCTTGTTGTCTTCACATATGAAGACATGAGAACAGGCATTGGTCTAGTGATCCTCTTGATGACATTATGAGAATGGTCAGAATGGTGTCTGAGGGTTTGAACAGACCCAGGTCCAGTGACCCTCCTGAGCACATCTGAAATGGACCTTGAGGTTCCCCCATCTTTTGGTACCCAGGCAGCTGCTATGGTTGGCCAAAAGCCCTTAGCAGTTTGTACTTTGGCTTGGAAGTTGCTTCCCAGCAAGGGGATGAGGATGTTGGTCCCATGAGGAGAGAGACCAAAGAGCCAGAGAGGGAAAGAAGTGACTGAGTTGGGGCCAATAAGAGGGATGCTTGTTAGCATAATCAAAAATAGTGGGGGAATCATCTGGTTTGGGCTTCATAGCTAGGAGGAGTTGTCTTTCTCTGTTTGGTTTATGCCATGCCGGTCCTTTTTTTTTTTTTTAAGTTTTATTTCAAGACAGGTTTTCTCTGTATAATCGCTAGCCATCCTGAAACACATTCCGTAGACCATGCTGGCCTCAAACTCTCAGAGATTCACCTTCCTCTGCTCTTGAGTATTGGGATTAAAGACAGCTTTTAATCATATGGGAATGAAGTCACATGGCAAAACCCGTCCTTCCAAGCCTTGCAGAGATGGCTGCCAGCCACGTGGCTGTCTCCATCCCAATAGGGTGATAGCAGATAAGATGCAGCAAGCCACGTTTTCTTTAAGATTACATAGGCATAGATTTTTGCTTGTCAACCCTGGTGTTATGAGTTAACCCACTTGTTACGCATTTTTACAGGTTTTTAATCATACACTATATGCTTACAAGTTTTGAGATAATGTCTTTGCCTTACCAAACATTTTAGAGTATTCGATAAGTAGCAGTAGTCCCCACTGGGAATGGTGTGCCTTAATTTTGTTTTGGTCTCCTTTCCTTGGCTCTCCTGATATGGGATGGATATACTGGAGGAAACCTTTACACAAGCATGTTTGCTTTTAGAGGAGGGGCAGCCACAACTGAACCCCAAAGCCATCTTTTAATTGAAGTTTGACAGCATTAGGCAACAGGCTAATGCCACTCATACCTAAAACACACCTGAATATCTATAAAAAGGAATCCAGTAAGCTGAGCAAAAAGACTTACAGATAGGGAAATTTTGAGCCCTGGCTATAGACAGAAGATGCTGCAGGAAAGACCAGAGAGACTACCCGCTAGGGAAGAGTGTGTGTGTGGGGGGGGGGTGCACATTGCAGCTGGCCTGATCCTTTGCTTTTCCCCCTCCTCTTAGGTCTGGCTTCTGGCTCCCAATTTGTGTCACACTCATAGGCCCATTAACAATAACTGGAAAGGCAGAGCATTTACATCCTGTGGGATGGAGGGAACAGGGAATGAGACAAAAACAATCAGGGCTTATAACAGAAAAAACGGAAATAGTGAAAGGGGATTCTCTTTCCATTTCCCTGATTGCTCACATGATTTGTAATGGTCTCGGATAATGTTAGATTCTAGGTTGCTATTAGATGGCCATCTGGATTGATTGTCTAAGGACTATTGAGGTCAAAGTTGGTAGCAAAAGCAAGTAAATTTGGGGACTTCAAGTCATGCATCAGGTGGAAAGGCTGGAGATTTTTAAGACATCCCAATGGGGAATAAGAGGGTATGGGAGACACTTCCAATGGATGAGAGTCTTCTGAGGAAAAAATGTCTCTGTAGTCTGTTGTCTCAGGTATCCCTAAGACTCGGGGAGGACCAGAAGAAAACCCAAGCCATTCACTGTGTCCTTACTGCATTCAGCAGGGGTCACAGGCCTTGTCTGGCTAAGCCAAAGGAGAGACCTGGCACCTGGTACCAAGGCTTTCATCAGAGCCAGAAGACAAGTAGTGGAGAAGGTGAGGTTGAAAACTGAGCTTTAGGAAAGGAGTCTTATCCACAAAAACGGCTGAAAAAAAAATGGAGTCACAAAAGCCACAAGGGGCCTAGAAAGAGCTAGGGATTATGAACAGCTCCAAAGGGGAGATGGGAGAGAAGGCCAGGAAGTGGAGCAGTAGCTCATTTGGGCCCAAAGAAACTGCAGGATTGCAGCTCCAAGGGTGAGAGGATTAGGGGAAGGGGGCCAGCCATAGCTTTAAAGACTGAGGGCACCTTTTTCAAGAATACGAAAAGGGTGCTTGATAAACAATGAACATGTCATTGGACTCAAGCGTTTACACCAGCCAAAGGGGAAACATACTGACTTGATGGATGGGTTGCTAAGCAATCTGTGAGGCAGAAGGTGAGGGTGAGTCTGTCACAGGTGAACCTGGGGTGGAGGATAGGGGTCTGCAGGTGCCAGGAGATCCTATCCCAATCAGAGCATCGACGTGTTACAGCTGTGAGGTGAAAGGCTTCCCAAGTGGCATTGTGACAGCTTCAAGGGGAAAGATTTCCAGAATTGGAAGTGTTATAGCTTTGATGTGGAAGGATTCCCTAGTGCAAGCGTTAAAGCCTCTGAAGGGTAAGGTTTTCTTGCTGTTGGGTACCAAGGAATAATAGAGTCACACCACACAGCAAACCTCACACAAGAGTTTTATTTGGGGGGAGGACCCAAGATGGTGTCTGCTTCTGCTGGTGTTTGGTAGAGGAGTAGAGAGCTGAGCAGAAGACAGGTCTATGTAGTGTTTTGGGGGACAGAGCTTTCCATGTGGACATTTCTAGGATTAGAATTGGTGGGTTTTTAAGACCAGATCTTTGGTTTTTTATTTTGTGGGAAGTTCTTGACTGCCTATATCTGGAGAGGCTGTTTCTGGACTTTAGGGAAGTTAGTGTTCTGGGGGTAGAGATCCCTGGTTGCAGATCCTCAGGGGTCGGGTCTGGCCACTTGCAAGCATCAAGGGCTTTGCAAAAAGTGCTTTGTGTGATATTATATTCTTGTGTTTGTCCTTTTAGGAGGTGCTGGTCTATTATTGTAGAGGAAAACAAAAACGAGGCTGTACACACAGATAAGCACTGGAGAAGTCAGGAAAGTTTAACACATAGCTTACCTCTTCAATGGAATGACGTGCACAGCTGCTCTTTCTGGAATCTTACAACCTGGTGATTCTTTGCTGTCTGATGAGATAGGCTCTGCCTCACCTCCCAGAATTTGCTTTTCCTTATCCAAGACGTTTTCCCCTAAGTCTTGAGCATTGCTTTTAGACCATAAGACCCACTCTTATAAGCGAGCTCACGTGTGCTTTACAACCTAAATGACTTCCATGTTACCTTAGGGCCAGGTCAACCCTAACACCACAGGCAGTAGGTTTACCTCAGTCAAACTAACCAGATTCTAGATCTTGGGTACTATCTGTGAGTCAATATTACCCATTCTTCTCTTTTTTTTTTTTATTACTTTAATTTTAAATAGCTTGCTTCACATGTCAATCCCAGTTCCCTCTTCCTCCCACCCTCCCGCACTCCCCACCATCCCCTGGAGTCTCCCACCCTATCCCCACTTCCTTCCACATATGGGATATCCAGAGTCTGTCATTTCACTCAGGGCAGGGTCCAGGCACTCCACTAAGAGTCCAGGCTGAGAGAGCATCCCTCTTTGTGTTATGGACACACGAAGTCCGTTTGTATGCCAGGGATAAACACTGATCCACTACCCAGGGCCCCATAGGTTGCCCAGGCCTCCTCACTGACTGTCACACTCAGGGGGTCTGGCTCAGTCCCATGCTGGCCTCCCAGCTGTCGGTCTGGGGTCCAAGAGCTCCCCCTTGTTCATATCAGCTGGTCTCTGCTGGCTTTGCCAGCCCATTCTTTGCCAATTTGCTCATCGCTCCTCTCTCTCTGTCACTGGGTTCCATGGGGTCAGTTCAGTGTTTATTTGTGGGTGTTTGCCTCTGCTTCCATCAGTCACTGGATGAAGGTTCTAGGATGGCAGATAGTGTAGACGTCAAGTTCATTATCAGGAATAGGCATTCGAGGTGGTCTCTCCACTATTGCTTAGCTTGCCAGTTGGTGTCATCCCTTTAGATCACTAGAGATTACTCTGGTGCCAGATCTGTCTTCTAACCTATGACTCCCTCTTTTATGGTATTTCTCATCCTGTTCTCTCCCTATTCTACCCCCTACTCAACCTTCCCATTCTTGTGAAAGACGCCAGATGTACTTTGTAAGGATTCTCAATGTAAACATGTCCTCACTTACGTGCTTGGGGCTTAGTTAATTTTTATATGAATAGTTTTTTTTTTTCGAAGTTGTGCTGTTCTTAACTAAGAATAGAGCAAAATGATCTGGGCCAGACTCTAGAATTCCCTGTCTGTCCCAGTTACAATACAGTGGAGCTGAGCTGAGTTTTATGCTCGTCTCTTTGTGGATCTTTTTTTTTTTCCCTGCTTGCTGTAAAGCCTGCAGGGGAATCACCACATTTCATTATTGCTCCATAACAAATTCAGAAACACAGTGGTGTATAACACTGTCATCAGTCATTCAGTTCCATTTTGACCATTGTGTTTTGATTGAGCTGCGGTTAGAAGGGTTGGGATTCAAGGTATGCTAATAGAAGACGGACCCTCAGTGTTTTAAGTATTCTGATAGGGCATAAGATCTGGGGTTCATTTGTAGAGTCTTTTATTTCCTTAGCACAGTACTGTGATTGAAATCCAAGAGGTTTCAAAAGAATGTCTTTCTCAGGTGCAGTTTCACTGATAATCCAGAACTGTTATTTTGGATACAGAACCTAGATACCTGCAGGGTGGACAGAAATGAGACAGTATGAAATACAACAGGTATTTTGGAGGTACTATGGTACGGGTGTTGAGGGGCTCAAGTGACAGTGGAAATGGAATGGGGGTACGGGGTGTTGAGATGAGTCAACAGTTAATTCTTTAGTGATCCTTTAGAAGGACATGGGTTCTAATATAATAGCTCGTGATTCTTTAGAAGGACATGGGTTCATTTCCCGGTATCGCGTGGAGGCTGACAACCATGTGCAACTTCAGTTCTAGAGACCTGATGACTTTTCTTACCTCAGTTCACACCAGGAGTGAATACAGATCACTTCCATTCATGCTGCCAAACACTGATGCCCTCTATGTAAAACACAAAATCTAACAAAAATAAAGCAATGGGAGTGTAAATGAGACGTAAGAATGAGTTTTTGCCACATTCTGTTTCCCTAAAAATGATTGTAGAGCGGTGGTTCTCAACCTTTCTAATGCTGAAACATGTAGATTCCCTTCCAGTGGCTTGTATAGGAGCTTACCTGCATGTGGGCAGAATCACATGGATATGGATACAGTGATTTTTCAGTTTCTAAGACCATCAGGGATATGTGTTTTCTAATGGTGCTGGCATAATTGGATGGTGGCATGTAGAAGACTGCAGATAGATCCATGTCTATTGCCATGCACAAAACTTAAATCCAAATGGATCAAAGACCTCAACATAAATCCAGCCACAATGAACTTGTTAGAAGAGAAATTGAGAGGTATCCTTGAATGAATTGGTACAGGAGACCACTTCCTGAACATAACTCCAGTAGAACAGACACTAAGATTGACAATTAATAAATGGGACCTCCTGAAACTGAGAAGCTTCTGTAAGACAAAGGACATAGTCAACAAGACAAAAAGGCAACCCACTGATTAGGAAAAGATATTCACTAACCCTACATCTGACAGCTGATCTCCAAAATTTACAAAGAACTCAAAAAGCAAGTCTCCAAAACACCAAAGGATCCAATTAAAAAGTGGGCTAAGAACTAAATAGAGAATTCTCAATAGAGGTGTCTAAAATGGCTAAGAGACACTTAAGAAAGTTCTCAACATCCCTAGCCATCTGGGAAATACAAATGAAAACAACTCTGAGATACCATCTTACTCCTGTCAGAATGGCTAAAATCAAAAACACCAATGACAGTTTATGCTGGAGAGAATGTGGAGAAAGGGGAACACTCCTCTACTGCTGGTGGGAATGCCGACTTGTACAGCCACTTTGGAAATCAGTATGGAGATTCCTCAGGAAAATGGGAGTCAATCTACCACAAGACCCAGAAATTCCACTCTTAGGCATATACCCAAAAGATGCACATTCATACTGTGTTTATAGCAGCATTATATGTAATAACTGAACAAGGGGGAGCTCTTGGACACCAGATTGATGGGTATGTGGAAAGCATGGGACTGATCCAAACCCCCTGAATGTTGGTGTCAGTGGGGAGGTCTACGTAATCTATGGGGCTTTGGGTAGTATTTATCTCTGGCATAGAAATGGACTTTGGGTGTCCATCCCACAATGAGGGATGGTCTTTCAGCCTGGACTTTTGGAGGAAGACCTAGGCCCTGCCTTGGACGAAATGACAGACTCTGGAGATCCCCATGGAGGGTCTTATCCTCCCTGGGGATCGGAGTGGAGATTGGGTGCGGAACTGGGGAGGAAGGGAGGGAGAGGGAGCTGGGATTGACATGTGAAGCAAGCTTGTTTCTAACTTAAATTTTAAAAAAAAGGAAGAAAAAAAAGAAATACGTGTTTTCTTATTGTCTTAGGTGACTCCTATGAAAGGGTCTTTCCATCACCTCTTCCCCTCCACTCATGGTTATTTTATTGATTTTAATTGATTTTGTAATCTTGTTTTGCTCTTCTGAAGTTTTTTTGAACTCTGCATTATCAAAATTTAATATCAACTTAACATTTCTCTGCAGCCAAATACCAATGCACATAAAATTAAAACATATAAATCTTAAGAAAAAGAAACAATAAACAATGTAGAGTTGTTACATATGGATACAGGATAACAGGACAGGAAAGAACATGGAGTTGTCACTGCTAGTATGTAAGCATGAAGCCTGGATATGTGATGTGAAATGGCCAAACTGAAGAAATAAATATCAGGTCAGTGATATGTATCGGTTTTTATTGTTGTGGGAATTTCATGTAAATACCATGTCTTTGTTTACATTTACCCTATCTTCTTCAGCTCCAGTTAGGCACTCCCATGATGTTCACAATTTTCAAAACTCCTGAGTCTACTTCTTGATAGTTTTCTGCACACTAGCCACATCTCTGAAGAAAACTGACTCTGCCTCTTCTACGGCTAGGAGTTGCCTATAATGAAGGATGTGGTGCAATGATCCCTTATACCCATGCTGGTGTTTGAGCTGTATTAATCTTGTACCGGGGTTTGGCATGCAGGTACATTTTCTGTGGAACTACTGTTGGCATGACATTCATGTGACAGATGTGGAAACCAGAACAACTGTGCCTGTGCTCTAATTTTATTGCCATGGTGACATGAACAAAGAGTTCAGATCAGAGCAGCATGAATTCTTGCTGTGGCCTGGGAGTCATTCAACAAGGCAGTGGTGGGAACCACAATAGGCATCCAGGCAGCTGAGGAACAGAGAAGCTCCAGGGTTGGGAAACAATCAGGGACAGAACGAAGGGTGTGGTTAGTTCTCTGCTGTCGCTTATGAAAGCAGAGTCTGAAATTCTGCTGTGGATATGGTAACCCTGTTGGAAAACTTTAAATCATGTGAAATGCGGCTTATGTCCTAATGTTTGCCTTTGTGTTATGATATTCAGGATATTTACAGAAGACCTAGCAAAGTATTTGTATTTCCTGTTGCCTGCAAACATGGTTGTTTTGGCCTTAGTGGCAATTATAAAGTGATGGGGGGTGTTCTTCTGTATGTATGTTGCTCTTATTGGTTGATGAATAAAACACTGGTTGGCCAGTAGCTAGGTAGGAAGTATAGGTGAGTCAGAGGAGAGAAGGCAGGAGAGGGCAGCAAGAGAGATGCCATGCTGCCCAAGGAGCAACATGCTGGATTACAGGTAAGCCATGTCCTTGTGGCAATCCGTAGTTTAATAGAAATCGGTTAATAATTAAGAGACAGGAAGCCGGTAAGAAGCCTGAGGTATTGGCCAAACAGTTAATAATTAATAGAAGCCTCAGTGTATTTATTTGGGCCTGAATGAGTGGTGGGACCAGGCGGGAGACAACCACAGCCTACAATAAAGCTCCTTGAATTCAAATTCATCCATATTCATCCATTCTTTCTAAATCCCCTCTTACCATTTGTTGGTTCAGTAGAATAACCCTTTGTGATGGCAACTTGGCATCCCAGAGAGCTTTTTAAATATTAATGTTATAAGGGGCCGCTACAAATTTTATTCAGTCAGCAAGTATAATTTTGCAAGCATTAAAAGTTATGGTTATTTCCTGTCATCTACTCCTCCTGGGTGAGTTTGCTTCTTTTTGTTCTAGAGCTTACAGTTGTTACCCCAAGTCATGGCGATCCCTTGGTTTTCATTCCACAGGACCAGTCTCTTTGTGCATTCCTGCCAATCTCAGATGGGGCAATGGTTGTGGTGTGCCAAATTAAGGCCCAGGATGTGTGACTGGGTGCTAGTTTTTCTGCTTGCTCTGGACCATCATGATCATGCCCTCAGGTCAGGCTCAGAGCCAGATCACTTAGGCTGATGCCACTGGGGCCAGCTCTCCCAACCTGTGGCGAAAGGTAGATCCATTCTTTCCTGAGTGCTTGGGTCAGCTCTCCTATGGTGACTTGGCAGCACCTCTCCTGCTGCATTGTCTAGCAAGGGCCAGGGAACAGCTATCCCAGGGCCAGTGAGGGAAAGGCGTGCTCAGCATGGCCCTCGGATTTCAACAGGCATGTTTCCTATGCCCTATGATAACACAAGGCAAGAATATCAACGCAGACCATGACTGTTGTTGGGCTATCAGCCCAGACATGACCCATGGCAGCACCTTGGGCAAGGCCCCTTGCGACTGCGCAAGCCACTCAGATTGGTAAGATCTCTGTGGCAGCAATGCCTTGAATACCAACATGGTACCAGGTGGTGTCCCAGGCCACTGACATCAGCATTGCCTTTTGGCCTGACTGTGTTTGAACCATGGATCCAGGTATGTTTCCAAGCAGCAATCCAGGCCTAGGTGTCACCATGGCACCTGGTAGCAGCACAGGCCACCCTTGTTTGGTAAGGCTTCAGTGACATTGTGGCACTCAGACACCAACATGCCCCAGGTGAAAGCCCTGACACCAGGTATTTTTATGGCTGTCAGTAGTATCAGAAGTCACTGAAATCAACCAAGACACTGGCTGCAGTAGGATCACAAACCCAGACAGGGCCCTTTGCTGCAGCTCAGGCTCAAATGTCACCATGCTCTGAGTGGCAGCACAGGCCATCCAGACTAACATGGCCCTGGCAGAAGGGTGGCCCTCAGAGGCCAATATGGACTCAGGTATTTGACCTGACTTCAGTCATCCGCATAGTCTTCAGTGGTTATGGAAGCCATGAACATAAACACTTGGCTACTGCAGGACCATGAATCTAGACATGGTCCCTGGGAGCGGCCCAGGCCAGGATGTCGTCATGTCCTCCAGTGGCAACACAGGTCACTCTGATCAACATAGCCCCTGTGGCATCATGGCCCTTGAATAACAAAATTGCCACAGGTGATGGTTCACATTCTGGGCATTGCTTTGGCCTTAGTGGCAACATGGGTCATGGAAGTCACCACACACCCTGGCTGTCACAGACCTACATATAATCATAGGCAGTGGCCCAGTGGTCCAAGACAATTCTTTACTCCTAGTAAATAGCTATGTTTAAAAAGTGTCTTCTCTCCAGGTGGTGCCTGCCTTTAATCACAGCACTCAGGAGGCAGAGGCACAATGATTTCTGTGATTTCAAGGCCAGCATGGTCTACAGAGAGAAGCCCTGCCTCAAAAAAAAAAATGGTCAACAACAACAACAACAAAGAAATCCCCAGGGGCATGTATGAATTCATTTTCAGGTACTGAAGAATAATGGGTAAGTATTGACTCCAAGACTACACAGAGAAACCCTGTATTGAAAAACTGAACAGCCAAGTGACTTCTCCCCTTACAGCAACAGTAGGCAGTAAATAGAAGAATATATAAGAGACATGTGAACACTGAATCACTGCTGGCATGTTCTCATTCAAACATATGAAGACATATCAAGGAATGTTTGTAAGATTCTAAATAACAAAATCCTACAGGCATTTTTCATATATATGGAGAAAGTCTTCCTAAAATTTATAAAATTGGGCAAAACCATGAATAGGTCAAAAATTTTGAGAGAGTGATCAAACCCAGAGTTACTTTTAAATATATTAAAATTATAGCAAGGGATAACTTGTAGAGTTGACATTAAGAGGGAATACTTTGTTTATCAATGGGAAGATGATATAGGTGGATTTTAATACTCTGTAAAGATATTAAGCCAATCTTATTAAAATTATGCAGGCATTGTCTAAGGAAATGGAGAAATTAACTTTAAATTTAGGGAATAAAATGCTCCAAAGTTCCAAGTGCAAGAAAAGCCAAGAGGCATCAGTTGTTACACCTAACCATTGTATTAGAATTATGATGAAAACATTTAATATTTTCAAGATGCAATCAGTGATGTAACTTGGAGAGGGACAGCATCACTACATGCAAAGGCAATTAAAAATGTGTTTGCCTCTGAGTATTAATTCTTATAGTGTTATAATACCTACAGTAGGAATATTCTGATATTTCTCAGTCAAATTCTCTAGAAACGTTCTCAATGAAATACAATCTTACAAAACCAATTTCATGCGCTGTTTCTACTATCACTGGAACCCACCTCCACCCTTCCTCAATCCCTCTAGCACACCTGGTCTCTTTGCTGCTGTCTCCTCTCTCCTCACCGTCCACGGCTCTTTCTTCTGCTTCACAGGTGAGCAGGACTCCCCGAGCAATGTGAGACCGGCACATGGGAAAGAAATTCTTCAGAAAGAACCTGGAACTTTTCTTTCTTTTTTCTCAATATATGTTTTTATTTAAATTAGAAACGTGAATGTTTCACATGGCAGTCCTAGCTCCCTCTCCCACCCCTCCTCCCTTGTCCCTCCACCAGTCTCCCTGCCCCTCCCCCCAGTCCCCACATCATTCCCCAGAGAGGGTGAGACCCTCCTTGGGGGATCTCTAAAGTCTGTCATTTCATACTGGGCAGGCTGAGAGAGCTTCCCTCTATTTGGAATGGGCTCCCAAAGCTCATTCATAAACCATGATACACACTGATCTACTACCCAAGGCCCCAGTGATTTCTGTGGCCTCCTCACTGAGACTATATCCATGGAGTCTGGATCAGTCCCCTGTTGGCCTCTCAGCCATCAGTCTGGGATCCAAGAGTTCCTCCTTATCCAGTCAGCTGTCTTTGCGGGTTTCCTCATCATGGTCTTGACCCCTTTACTCATCACTCCTCCATCTCTGTCACTAGAAGAACCTGGAAATTTTTATGGACAAAAAATAAAAGATGCGTAACGGCCACCAAAATTATAAACGGGAAGGAGAAACTATCACAAAAATGTCTCTTTCCCTCACAGGATTTTACTTTACTCTGCGCGATGTGAGACTCATTCCCACACAGCTCACAAACACAAAGAAATGTTTTCCCAGAAATCTGAAGGAGCAGCAAGGGAGCCTGCTGATCATACACAGAAGCCAGACTACTGCAATCCCGTAACAGGAAATATCAGTAAAAAGGCCTTAAAGCAGGGTATTGGCATTCTACTTCTCCAAGAAAAACAGTTACAGTACTGAAATACAACAAGCCTTGGAATTAAAAAAAAAAATTGGCCATGTGTGCATGGGCAAAATGCTTTTCGTGAGCCAAGGGGACATTTTTCTGATGTAGGTGAGTGATCATAATTATTCAAAGATGCTTTCTAATTTTATTTTGATCTATAGTGGGTTTTCTAAGTATAAACCTAGTGTGCCCTGATAACTTCTCACAATATGCAGCTTGCCTGAACCTAAGCTGTAGCATCAGAAGACAGAATATGCAGACACATTTCTGAATGCTGGGCTTCAATTTTAGACTGTATTCTTCTCAGATGGAAAATTAATGGGCAGTATAAGCTTTGTTTAGTGAATATTGTTGTTTTCAGGCATAACTGGAGGATTTAATAAAGTATATTTCATGATTCAATAAAATCTGCACTGGTTCCTCATGTGATTACTATCTGTAAAGCTCTCGGGATGCCTCATCTCCAGGGCCAAAGGTCACTTTCTCGAATAAGTGTGTAGTAAAACAGGGGAGTTAGAAAACACGGGTGAATTTCAATTCCACATTTCATATTACCTGGTTAATTTCTGTGCTCCTGGAATCTCTTTTGGTGCGTTTGCTTATTCCTAAATTAGTATTTAATTTTGCTTTCCTCTAGCCCTTTCAGCATTTCAGGTTTTCCAGGAAGGCCCTTGATCGAGTTCGTGTTGTCTTTTATTTAGATTGAGAATTTGGATCTCATATCACTCATGTACTCTTGATAATCATTTTCCCAGCAGACAATGTTCAAAGGACTTTTTTCCTGGGTTGGTCTGTACTACGTAACCTGTCTGCTTTGTTTTCTTCTGGAATCTCTGTTCTGTTCAATTTTCTGCATGTAGGTCTATGCTGTCTTTCTCCTTGTACTTCTGTATTATGATATATGATCAGTTCCTCTGATACCCCCAAAATACCCTTTCTTGGAGATCATTTTGATATTTGTGATTTTCCTGTGTTCATGAAACTGTTTCCATATCTATCTCTGTTGAAAACACCAGTATTTCCCATATAGGAGTATATGAGTTCTTCTGATTGCTGTGTAAATAACCATGTGCAGTATTGTGTTGTATCAGCTTGATAAACGCTATAGTTACTGAAGAGGAGAGAGCCTCATTTGAGAAAATGTTTCCATAAGAACTGTCTATAGTGTATTTTCTTAAGGAGTGATTGGTGGGCAGAGCCCAGTCTACTGTGGGTTGTTTATTTCTGGGCTTCTAGTCCTGGATTCTGTGAGAAAGCAGGCTGACAGACTATGTTGACTCCTCATGGGACTGGGGGTGAGCTAGGGTGGAGGTAAGAAGGGTGGGAGGGAGAACTATTGTTGCAAAGTAAAACAAAATAAAAAATGGGAAGCAATAAAGCAGACTGAATAAGCCATGGGGAACAAGCCAGTAACCCACACCTTTTCTGGCTTCTGCGGCAGCTCCTGCCTCCTAGTTCCTGCTCCATTTGAGCTGTCCCAACTACTGTCGATGATAAACAGGGATGTGGAAGTGTGAATCAAATAAACTCTTTCCTTTCCCCTGTGCCTCTTGGTCATGGTCTTCCATGACAGATGTGAAACCCTCTGCGAGATAAACCTTATACACCATTTTGTTGATCTGTCAATGTGCAGGAAAGTTCATTTCTTTTGTGTACTATTGTTTTTCTTTTTCTGAATTCCTTAAATATTTCTTTATAGAAGCAAATTCATCATTATTTGCCATTATTCTTAGCTCTTTTAGAAGCATCTTTAATGTCTTTAATTTCTAAATTAATTTGCAATTTGTCATTATTAATCAACAGGAAAGTTAGTGATGTTGTGTGTTTTGTTCTTTTAATTACATGTAAAGCACTTATCAAATCTAAGATTTTCCCATGGTGAGTGTAGCAAGTTTTATGTCTGAAGACATCATCATTAAGAGGGAATTGGGTGACTTTCCCACCTGTTTATCCTTAATTGTTTTTTATTGATCAAATTTCCTATTTCTCTCTTATAGCTCTTGTTTCAGTAATAGTAGATACTTAATGCATCTTCCCCCTCCTGACAGTTTTCTTGCTAAATGCTATTCATTTTTCCTCTGCCCTGTACTCTTGGCGCTGGTATACCACATTTGCTACTTACTGTGTTCTTCTGTGTTTCATTTCTTCCTGTTACCTTTAGGAGTTTTTTCATAAAATTGGTTAGTTTGTGTTTTGGCATTTCTATTCTAATAGAATTTTCATATCATGGGGCTTATATTGGTTATGTGACTTTTTATATATTCTGGTTGGTAATACTGATGCTAATTTGTTTCATTTTTGCTAGAAATGGTAGTTTGTAATCCCAGCACTCAGGAGGCAGAGGCAAGTGGATCTCTGTGAGTTCGAAACCAGCCTGGTCTACCGAGCAAGTTCCAGGACAGGCTCCAAAACAATACAGAGAAACCCTGTCTCAAAGAAAAGAAAAGAAAAAGAACGAAAGAAAGAAATGGTAGTTTGATGTTTTGTTTGTTGGACAATTTGTTACTCCCCAGCTTTCCTGTGCTCATTGATTCCTTATATAAAATGCATTATCTTCTGTGTTTGCATGGATAATTTCTTCTGATTTTTCTACCTGCACTTTGCCTCTAATGATGGTTCACAATGCTGCTTGATTGGGTGATCCATGCTATTTTATAAACTTCTTTTTTTTTTTTTTTTTTCGAGACAGGGTTTCTCTGTGTCTGGAACTTGCTCTGTAGACCAGATAGACCAGGTTGGCCTCAAGCTCACAGAGAGCCACCTGCCTCTGCCTCCTGAGTGCTGGGATTAAAGGCGTGCTCCACTAGCGCCCAGCTTTTATAAACTTCTTTATGTGTCCTTCCTTCTCCATGAATTTTAAGAGCCCGTGTTTCTGAATACAATGATAAGATTTATAATAATTTCTTTTCCCCATTCTAAATGTGTTCTTTGATTGTCTCCTATCTATAGGGATGTTGATACGTTTTCTGGTGTCATTTTGGTTTAAAGTCTTTTTATGTGGTTTGGCATTATCCTTAACAGAGTTGTATTAATTTTAGCTTTGTATTTTCAACATCTTGATGCAAAGTTTCAACAAGAATACCAGTCTTTGTTTCTGAGAAAGAAACTCAGAGAAGAGCAACAAGAACAATGAATGCTCCTGTGATAAATGCTCCCCAGGTCAGTGTCATGTCCTCATTTCTTTGAAACTTTTTTTTTAAGCCATTCAAGACTTTAGTTCACTACCTCTGGGGATGTTATCTAAAGTCTTTATTTTCTATGACTTATCTTTGTTTTTTTCTCTGATAAACAAGAGTAAATCTTTACATCATTCATCTACATACCACAGCCTTTGACCATTACATTTTCACTCAATTTTAAAATGTGAGGACACAAACTTTCATGGAATTAATACCTGCCATCCTGATAGAGAATTTCTTATAAATGGTGCTCACAGAAATATGTTGATGGCCCTTTTCCATACAGAAAAGACTTCTGTCCTTTTATAATCCTGAAGAAGGAAGGTTTTCTGTGCTTCATGACTGCATTTCTGGAATAGTCAGATATCCAGAAACAGGCTTATGAATGGTTACATAAAAATACACTGGCCTTTTCACTGACATCACTGAGCCACGTATGCAAAAGTACCATTAGAAGATACTATCTTGAATCCATATAATAAATATTACAGCATCCTCGGGAGTGCATAATTGAAAAAATAATGTATCTTTCTCTTGCCATAAAAAAACTGATTTGTCTCTGATGATCCTGGTTTTTCTTTTTGACATTGTCTCAGGAACTATCCTGTACAATTCTCAGTGGTAAATTCTCAATAGATAGATGACTATTTTTCTCTTTCACTTTATTTCTCTGTCTCTGCTTTGTAATTCCATCATGTGGAATATGTAACTAAGAATTTTCTAGACAGTATTGACTTGGTGCTGTGCAGGAGGAATCAATTTTCAAGCATCAACAGATGTCCCTCTTAATTCATTTACTGTGTTTTTATTTTTTGGAAGAAGGTTCCTTCTAACCAGTGTTTTCCCTTTCCCTGAAACTATGCTTTTTTTTTTTTTTTTGGAGGTAGAAATTCTTAAGAGTAGTGGTGAGGGTTCTATTTCTTCCTTTCCTTTCCTGTGTATCTATATGAGTGTTCATATGCATATTTTAACCTACACTGCACGGCACATTATGCCCCTGGATGCCTGAGGGTGGCACCAAACCCTTGGCGCTGAAGTCAGGCATTGTAGAAAGAGTTAAATCAGCTTATCTGCAGGAACAGCAAGCGCCTTTACCCTCTGAGTCATTTTCCCAGACCACAGGTTTACATTTCTAGTGCACATTTGTGACACACAGCATATAACCTTGCAGCTTCTTGTTTTCAACAGTAAAGGAAGAATTATAAGTGACATGTATCTATGCAACTAAAATACTGCTAGATGAATGAGCTCTAATTCTGAGGAAAGGAATACAGTTGAAATTAGAAGATTCACATTTTCAACTGACCCAAAATCATGAGCAACAGTGTGTTCAAAATTAATGAAAAGTTAGTATAACCATCACTCAATTTAATACATTATTTCATTCACAGAAAATGTCTCTGCTTCACTTGAATGCATTGGCACATGTGCCATTTATTTACAGATATATTCTCATTCTGAAGTAAACTACAATATGGAATTTATTAAATTGTTATAATATGTATTTTTGTGTCCTCT